GAGGTTTTGTATGGTTTAACGGCTAACAAAAAATATGAGACTGGAAATTAGCGCTGACACCAGAGGTAATTTTGAAGAGATTAGAAAATTCGCTGAATGGATTGCAAGTATTGCGATGGTGTGATCGGAGATTCATCAAGTGGGTTTGCAACAATTGAAATTCCGGATGATATTTTGCTCGGATATGAAAGTGATCCGATAGTAGCCATAATTAGTTCGAAGTACATACCCCGACTTCCTGATATTGATGATGATCCAACATACTAAGAGAAGCGGGCTATATTAGCTCTGACTCTAGATAATGTAGTTGATTCTATCGATCAACACATGATGTCATTGAACACGCGATATTCAAAAACATACTTTAGTTCTGATAGTGCTTGCTACTCATACACTCATGTCGATGTTTTAGCTGATGTGCATATGCCTGAATTTTTGAATAGCCTTAAATGTTCTGGTGTTCCGAATCACGAGTTGACGCTAAAGGTTGGAACTTCGGTTATGTTGTTGTGCAATATAGATCATTCTATGGGACTTTACAATGGGACGCGACTAATAATTACAAGGCTCAGAAATCATGTTCTGAAAGTTGTAATACTTTCTGGGCATACAACTGAGAAAAAAGTGTTGATTCCAAGATTGAACTTAACCTCTTCAAATGTGAGGATGCCTTTTAAGTTCCAGCGAAGACAATTTCCTATAATGGTGTCATATGCAATGACGATCAACAAAAGTCAAGGTCAATCTCTTTCTCATGTTGAGCTATCCTTACAAAACCCGGTGTTTTGCCATGGCCATTTGTATGTAGCCGTGTCACGAGTTACCAAACATGAAGGGTTAAAAGTATTGATATGAAATGATGATGGTACATCAAGTTCATCCACATTAAATGTTGTATATCCAGAAGTTTTTCAGAATGTTTAATACGTAGTATCTTTTACTTATTTTTTAGAATGTTTAATGTCTTCTACATTGTCAGGTGTTCGTTTTACAAATACATCCAGTGAAACAACTTATATTTGTTTTATTTTATTATATATCATACGTGCATTTAATTTTTTAGTTGAATAAATATATTCGACAAAAATATTCCAATATTTGTTTTACATTATTATAAACAATTATACCGTTTTGCCCCGTTTATCGTACGGCTACAATACGTACTAGTTTATACTAATAACTTAACAAACTTGTCCTTTAATTTGTAATGCATATGGGGTATTAACTAATACTACGTACTTCGTATATGGAGTACTTTCGATAGAGACAAGTAGATGGTGAACGACTGGAGGTTGCAGATGATAAAGAGAAATCCAAGTTATGATGACATTTGTTAGAAACTTGGGCACTTCAATTTCATAATACTGTCATATTAGTATTATGTTAGTATTATGAGCCCGTTTGATAATATTCCAAAATTGGTTGATTCTGCTGAAATTTATGAAATTCTGACTAAATTGGCCGATTCTGCTAATTTATTAAAAAATTATATTTAAAATATCTTTTATTAATAACATAGACAAAGAAAATGTAAAAATAACTAAAATGATCATCCACAGTAACTTCAGGCAATAAAGTCAGAAAAGTAACTTAAACTTTACATTTTCTTATTATTACGTGATTCAGCACACAAAATTAAAAATTACGTGTTTGAGAAAAAGTTGTCTGATAAGCCTGATAAGACGAAAAACTGGATTACCAAACGAGGGCTATGTTTAGTAATTTTATACGGAGTATAAGTAGTGATTTTATCAAACATCCGGATGTATCACGTCATGACTCATGGTACATCCAAATCATGAAATGAGTATTTGTTTAAAGCAATATACTACTACCTCCGTCCCATTGGAAGGTTCTCATAGCAAAACGACACGGTTATTTAGGTGATAACTAAATAAAGTATTTCGGGTATATTTTGAGACATAATTTTAATAGGTATATATTATAATGTGTTAGTATTGATAACTGTGATGTTATAAATATATTATTTTTAATATTTAATGACTAATTTGTCAATTAAGATTGTTAATTGTTTCCTAAAATGGAAATGAGAACCTTCTAATGGGACGTCCAAAGAAAATGGAAAGTGGGAACCTTCTAACGGGTTGATGAAGTAGTTTTTATGGTCAATTAAGTACAGAATGATCTTTTTTACATTCAATCGAGTATTCTATTGAAGCATCAACGAGCCGAAAACAAGTATAACCATGTTATAGTGAGTTAGTGACCATTACTAAGTTTCAAAATGAGAAAATGATAAAATAAAGAAATACTACGTACAATAATTAGAGTTTGACTTTGAGAGTTTCTACATCCCTCCTTTAAAAAATCTCTGACTCCCGTACTGGGTGTATATGCATAATATTTGTGTCTGTGTATACATTGTTGTATTTTTTACTACTCAGTCCACGTATACTCCCCTTATCCAACCGACCAACCCCTATGCTTGAGTCTAGGGGTGTAAATGAGCCAAGCCGCTCGTGAGCTGCTCGCGGATCGCTCGGTCAATGCTCGACTCAAGTTCGGCATAAATAAGCTTGGATCGAGTTCGGCTCAGCTCGAATACTTAACGAGCACAATTCAAGTTTTTTTATTTTAGGCTCGAAGCTCGCAAGCCGGCTCGCAAGCCTCGATGTGTGTGTGTATACATGTGTGTAAGTGTGTTTGTGTATGAATTACAAGAATTTGAAAAAAGGCGTACGGAACCATTGACTAGGACATGAATCTAAGCTTTTGAACATGAAAGTTCAGTTGCCAGGTACGCCGTTTGCTCTTTTGCTTTCTTTTTACTTTTTTGTTACTTCTTTGTTCCCACACCGAAACAGCTAGATGAAGTCCCCTCCTCTATTGTTATAAATAAAGAGTATCTCCTGCTTTGACAATCAGCCCACACATATTTCGAGCCCGTTTGGTAGCATCAAAATCGGCTGTTTTGGTTGATTCTGCTGAAATTTATGATATTTTGGCTGGAGTGGCTGTTTTGGCTGATTCTGCTGATTTAAGAAAAAAATATTTTAAAAATATATTTTATTAATAAATTAAAGAAAAAATTATATGTAAAAATAGCTAAAATGGTCTTTACAGTAACTTCAGCCAATACAGCCAGAAAAGTAACTCCCACCTTACTTTTTCGGTTTATTACACAATTCAGCGCGCGAAAGTAAAAGTTACGTGTTTGGTGAAAAAGCTGGCTGATAAGCCTGATAAACCGAAAACAGAGTTCTCCAAACGGGCTCTTCGTGTAGGTATGCGGGAAGTTCAATTTAGAAAACCCACTCATAGTACAATAGTTTAATTAATTTATAATTGATTTTTTCACGAGCAGTTTGGCTGATTTGTTGTCGAACTCGACCAGAGTTCGTGAGCTTTGATGAATTACCCGAGCCGAATTTGAGCATGTGTATTTTGAGCTCGGGCTAGGATCTGCCTTGAGTCTACCAGAGCGGCAGAACCGTTTACCACTTATCTTGCAAGCATTTATGGGTTCAGTCAACAGTATAAAGAAATAACACTACATTAGTCAATTATCTACCCTTTTGTTAAATAACACACTCCGTATATTGACATAATTTGGCAAATTAAATTTGCACCTATTTCCCATTAAATCAATTTTTACTAATATGTAACTCTCATTTTACCCAGAACAATTTCCTTGAGTGAAAAACATGAGGTAATTTTACGTAAACAGTACAAAGGAAGGAGGTACTTATTTGAAGAATAAAAAAACATTATGTGAAAATCCAATCAAATTGGAGTATTTTTCACACCTTTTGTGATTTATAATTATTTATTGTAAAAAACGCATATGTTGAGAATTCATTCGTAATCCTTCCATCCGAATACCATTATTATGAAATTTCCGTTCTTTTGCACGACTCTATGCCTTTTCCCGTATTTTTAGATTGCAATGGTGAGATTATCACATTTTCATAGAAAATCATACGGAGTAACATTTTTAGTTTGAAGTAGTTGAAAAGATAGAAACTTGTCTAAAATTAAACGTCTACAAAGAAAAGGCAAAAAAAACCCTAAGAAAAATAGAAAATTATGAAAAAAAAACCCTAAGAAAAGACAAATACTTTGAGCCATTTAGGAGATAGAAACATAATAATAATACTAATTATGAAAATTTTCACCTTTGATTCTTATATAGAGCAGTTTTCTTTTATTATATTATTGAAATGCATGAAATTTACTACTAACAAATTACAAGCATTAACCATACTTTGATAGTTTCTCAACTTTATACACCAACCAACCGAGTTGAAGTGTGCCTACTTGTCATCCAGCATTGACACAGTTAGAAAGTTATTTTCACCGAGCTAGTATAAAGACATTTTTTAGATAAATTTTTACACATAAAAATCAACTAAATTTTGGATGGGGGACAGGGCCTACCATGCCCCTTTCCATTAAGGTGAAATACACACACGCACAGTAACATAATAGGATAGGATGTAAATGGATCCTTATATACTATATACATCAAGCTGCAAGAGCAGGGCCGTTCTAACATATTTTTGGTCTGAGTCAAACTTTATAAAGGGCCTTTAGGTTCCATTAAAAATTAATATTACGGAGTAAATATAAACAATTTATTATGTAGCACGGAGTATAAAAAAAGTAGATGCCAAACCATCTATTTAAAGACACATATTTCGCAGTTTATTACTACGTACTACGTATATATTACTTTCGATATGAGGTAAAGATTCTCGTTCATATTCCCCCGTCATTGTAAATTCTCGTTCATATTCCCCCGCCATTGTAAATTATTTTGATATTTTACTTTATAATTTATATATTCAACTTTTATCAATTACTTTGAAATTTAGACAAATAACTTACAAACGTGAGATGAGTCACTTATTTGGCTTGAATAAAAAAATCAGTAATGCCAGCAAAAAACTTGCTATTTACCAGTAATGGGTCACTGCTTGAAGTTCTTGAGGCATACTCAGTATTTACACATATAGTATACACACATATATATAAGGGTGGCTAGTAATTTGTGGGCCCTAGTTTATTTCCAATTTTGTGGGGCCTGAGGCAATTGCCTCTTTGCCTCATATAAAGGTTCGGCCCTGTGCAAGAGGTAACCAATTGGTGGGAGAATCCAAATATAGGGAGGCAAGCGGCTGTGGGAAGATTGGAATGGGTAATGTTGTCCAAAGGCAGAGGCCCCTGTATCACCATCCAAATAGAAAATGACATTGTCTTGAGGACCAAAGGGACTAACTAAATCAATGTAATCATCTGTGTAATATATTGTGTTGGGCTTCCCTTGAGAAAAATACTTGGCAGCCGAAACAGCCATGGTTGCACTATCTCCTAAAAACCACATCCCCATCGATACTCTTCACTTCTTTCCTCTCCAACAATTCCCCTTTCTCGTCCAAAACCAGCCTCATTACCTCGAATGTTTTGGTTAAATGGGCAGCTCTATTCCGTTTTCTGTGAATAGAGTACAGGTTCCCCTTTGATGATTCCACAAGATATGCTCTATCCGAGAACGCCTCAAGGTCGTGCAACGGAGGTTCTCGCACGACTGTCTTCAGTTTTGGCGGGGGCGATCCTGAACCGTTATAAAGGTCGATGGAGATGACATTGTTACCATTATTTTCTGATCATTGAAACCCTTGGCATGCTGCTTCCTGTTACTCCCTCCGTCCCTTAAAACTTTGCCAAAGTAGACCGGCACGAAAAATAATAAAGTAAAAACTGTGTGCATTGGTTGATGTTTGTGCAGAAGAGAGAGAAAGGAAAGTAACAAAGTTTTAAGGGACGGAGAGAGTATTATCTTAATATAGATATAGGTGTATCTCTTAGGAGCATTTATTTTCTTAAAATTCAGGCTCGTGCTCCATGTGGATGTGTAGGTATGGTTCATTTACTAACTACTAACTCTAACTCTGTGTGACTGTGTCTCTGTCATTATTTCCTTGCAGCTTACTTATAGAAGATCTTAGCCAAATGCTTGGAGCTAAATAACAACTAAGTTGATAGCTTCTTTAATTAATAATATTGTTGTTGAGTTAGTACATAGTATATGTGGTCCTCATTTAGAAATTTTTCTCTATTTTCATCCTATTTTGAGTAGGTTTAAACATAAATTATTTAGTACTCCGTATAATATAAATATTTAAACCAACTATAATACATATAAAAGTTACCAAATATAAAATATAAGTTAAAAATAAGAAATAAAATTTACTCTAGGAAATGGAAGGACTAATTAAGATAAAATTAAGAGTAAAATATTAATGTAAAAATATGCATAATATCATCTCATCTCTTTTATATTTTTTTGCTCATATTTTGAACAAATCGAAAAATATAAATAGTTTACCATATATATTTATAATTATCTTTATTATTTATTTGTTTTAATTTATTTTGATTTTTTTCTAGTTTCGAGCCTTTTTAAAGTCAAGGGGGTAATTGACTTATTTGACCTTTTAGCCAATGTATAATACTTGTACGTAGTATAATTTTGAAAGTTTTAAAATTTCCGATCCGAAAGGCTAGGTGAATACACGGATAACACATTAACACGACATGCTTTAATGTGCGGGTAGGGACATGTGGTTAGGACCGTTTTTTGCGTGCTTGGTCGGGCCGTCCCAGACAAATGTACAGAAATTAAAAAACGACCCAAACCCGAGTCCGAACCCGATTTTGTTTGGGTCTAGGAATTATCACTTTTATTTACTCCGTAAGATTCAGGAACATTAACTGGTCCTACACTCCCAGTCTCCTAGACCTACTCATCATACATGTGTATTAACTACTTTTTGTGTCGGAGAAGGTTTGTCATCCCCATAGCATTACTTCTTAATCCAGAGTTCCTTAAGAGAAAAAGTTCCCTGCTACCACAATCCAAAATTGTTGCCTGTATTTTCGCTGGTTAATTTCTTCTAATTCCATCCCCACTGGTTTGAAGTTTGGGTTTGTATTAGTGGTGAATAGACCGAAGCTGTGATTTTGTTTCCCTCTAATAGAAATCTCCGCGATTATTTACATAGTAAGTTTCTATGGTCTCTAGATTCTGCAACATATAAAGTGTAACGTACGGTAAACTTTTTCGCTTGAAAACATATGGTAATTGCGGTGGGGTTTTAGCGGATGTTTTTGTTTTTCAATAAAATAGATCGAAACCTTTCATGGAAAATCATGAAGCCTGCTGCTGGGAGTATCTCCCAGAACTATGTGTTTCAGTGGTCCTAGACAAGTTGGAATCCCCCAGAAATCTTTTTCACTTTGGGGCGGTCTGCAAGCGGTGGCAGTCATTATTCAAAAGTTATGTTTTTGACATGAAAAAGAAGCGGGAATGGCGTAATTACGCAGTCCCCATGTTGTTGGTCCCGCACCACAGGTGTTAAAACTGAAATTTATGAATATATATAAATGGAACTAAGGAACAATTTTACAATAGAGAAGAAATATTATTACATAGAGAGGCACAAGTGTGAGTCCTCTTAGTATTTCTTCATACGTAAAATGCAATACATGCACACATATACATAGCTATAATATATAGAAACTAGGAACCCTACATATACAAGTGGGCCCTGAATAATAAATGGTGCAAATAAAAAAAAACAACTCTCAATACTCCCCCTCAAGTTGGAGTGTGAAGGTCACAAACACCCAACTTGTTGCGAAGAAACTGAAAACGATCAGTGCCAAGTGCTTTAGTAAAAATATCTGCTGTCTGATGTGTAGTGGAGATATAACATGGATTTATTTCCCCACTAGCAACGCGTTCCCGTACGAAATGACAGTCTATTTCAACATGTTTGGTGCGTTCATGAAAAACAGGGTTAAGTGCAATATGACGTGCTGCTTGATTATCACAGAAGAGGGATGTAGGACTGGACTGATGAACCGTGAGATCTCGCAGCAACCATCGTAACCACAAGATTTCACTAACAGTTACGGCCATGGCACGATATTCTGCTTCCGCGGAAGACCGTGAAACGACAGATTGTTTCTTTGTTCTCCAAGAAATCGGTGAACTCCCAAGAGCGATAAAATAACCAGTACTAGATCTGCGAGTGAAAGAACATCCTGCCCAGTCTGCATCACAATACGCCTTTAATGTAAAATCTCCATCAGCAGAGAGAAAAATGCCTTGTCCTGGGGTTTGTTTCAAATAGCGAAGAACACGTATAGCGGCATCAAGGTGAGTTTGGCGCGGCTTATGGAGAAACTGGCTTAGTTGACTGACTGAGAAGACAATGTCAGGGCGAGTGACGGTGAGGTATAATAGACGTCCGATCAAACGACGATATGATGAAGCATCTACGAGTGGGCTGTCATCATCTGGTCGAAGTTTCAAATTTTGTTCCATAGGAAACAAACTAGGACGACCGGCTAGGAGACCGCATTCGTTCAGGATGTCAAGGGTATATTTTCTTTGACTTAGCACAAAACCCTTTGGAGAGCGAGCAACCTCAATACCAAGAAAGTATTTTAGCGGACCCAAATCTTTTATGCTAAAATTTTCATCCAGATGTCGTTTAGTATCATTGATGTGGGAGACATCATTTCCGGCTAGAATTACATCATCAACATATATGAGAGCAAATGTCTGGACGAGACCTCTTCTGAAAATGAATAAAGAATGGTCCGCATGAGATTGACGAAAACCAACTTTCAGCAGTGATTGGGTAAATTTGTGATACCAATTACGAGATGCTTGTCGTAAACCATAGAGTGACTTTTGTAATTTGCAAACACGAGTATCTCCATTTTTGGAAAAACCTTGAGGAACACGCATGTAAACGTCCTCAGAAAGATCTCCGTGAAGGAAAGCATTGTTCACATCTAATTGGTGAACTTCCCAATGTTTCTTAGCTGCTACCGCTAATAGGCATCGTACCGTGACCAGTTTGGCAACTGGAGCAAAAGTTTCATGAAAATCAACTCCTTCAACTTGTGTGAAACCTTTTGCAACCAATCTAGCCTTGTAGCGTTCTACTTCTCCGTTTGGTTTATACTTGATTTTATAAACCCATTTGGAATCCACTAATTTTTTGTTTGACGGTAGATGAACCAGAGTCCACGTACCATTTTCTTCTAAAGCTTGAATCTCCTTTTGCATAGCTTCCCGCCATAATGGATTTTGAACAGCCTGAGAAAATGTTTTTGGCTCATTATGTGAAGAGATGGCGACCAAAAATGCTCTATGTTTGGTTGAAAACCTTTCATAATTTAGAAAGTTAGAAATGGGATATTGTGTGGAGCCCGCCGAATTGGCGGGCCTGGAGTGAGTCAAAGAGGGCGGTAAGTCCGTATCGAAGGCAGCCAAGTGTGAAGGGAGCCTCCTAATTCTGTCACTTCTTCTAACCTCATTTGTCGTAGGCACGAAATCAGTTGATTCAAATTCACTATCCAAAGCCCCATTATCGTCCTGATCCTTGCTGACAGCTTGCGGAGAAGGGAGATGAGCGGTAGGTGAGTGAAGCCAAGGGGCTGCCATATTATGGGGCCGTCCAGAAGATGCTATGTGAAGGGGATCTGGCCCAACATCTATTTGATTGCTGCGTTCAAGAGTAGATGGCCGAAAATTAACTTGTTCGGCGGGCACAAGAGGACAAGTAGCTGACCCAGTATCCACATCCGTGCAGTCCTTCTCCTGTTGTTGGTCTTGACGTCTGCAGATGGGAGGGCATACAACTGGCGGACCAGGACGCCAATTAGTCTCATGTGAGACTTTCGGCGAAGGAGTAGTAGGATGGCAGTTGGGCGGCTCCACTCGTCCAGAAGGTGTTTTCATCGGTGAATAATAATCTGAGGGTGACCTGGTGGATGGGAGGTCAAATCCTTCTTGTAAATGTCGAGAACGTGGCTTTGGCTGAACGTGAGAAGTGCTGCAATTTTCAATTACTTTGTTGTAGACCTGATTAACTATAAATCCAAAATCATGCCCTTCTTGTTCTATTAATTTGAATGGAAACTCATTTTCAAAGAAAGTCACGTCCCTCGAGCTGTAAATGTCCTGCTTTCGTAAATCAAAAACTCTGTAGGCCTTTTGACCATAGGGATATCCAAGAAAAATACACGGACTCCCCCTTTCACCAAATTTATCTTTACGTTTGTTGTCGTGTGCATACACCAAGCACCCAAATACCCGTAAGTGTTCATAGCTAGGTATTTTTCCAAATAGCATTTCACAAGGGCTTTTATTTGAAATAATGGGTGAGGGTAGCCGATTTATTATGTAAACCGCGGTAAGAATACATTCTCCCCAAAAATCAATAGGTAACCCCGACTGAAAACGAAGTGCTCTAGCGACCTCCAAAATGTGTCTATGTTTGCGCTCTACAACCCCATTTTGTTGGGGAGTATCTGTGCACGACGTCTCACAAATAATTCCACGACGTCCATAATACTCAAATAATGGTTTAGTCTGAAACTCCAATCCATTATCTGATCGTATTCGCTTAACTCGTTTTTCAAATTGAGTTTCCACCATATTACAAAATTGTATCAAATGCTGACAAACTTCCGATTTATTCTTCATAAGGTAAACCCAAACACCTCGAGTGAAATCGTCTACGATGGATAAAAAATAACGTGCTCCGGAAGTAGAATCACACCTATATCCTCCCCATATATCACAATGTATCAATTCAAAACAACAAGAAGTCTTACTTGTGCTTTCGGGAAAAGAAAGGCGGGTTTGCTTGGCACGCACGCAGGGGTCACAAAAATTACTGTCACGATGAAAACCTGTAACGCCCCTCTCAGGGTTAAAGGAAACGTTACACAACTTACTACTTTTAAAAAAATAACTGTAATATAATGGCCATCTATTTAAGAAAATAACCCTGATACATTCTCAAAAGTAACTAAAACAACTCGAAATAAAACTAAATAAATATAGTTATCACCAGCAAATGTGATAACCACCTGGATCCAGGAATTTATTCAAACTTCAAATCCACAAAATAAAATAAAGTAATAATAATCACTTTATTATAACAACTATACTTAAATACAATAATAACTAGCTAGAAGCTGCCAAGGCCGTTCCCGTTAACTCATTTCGGCACGCGTTCCACTCCCTCATCATCTTCCTAGACCTTGGTCTTACCTTTAGTATCTGTACATGCGAAGAAAGAAAACTGATAAGCTTTACGCTTAGTAAGTCACTATGGATCCACAAAAATATCTAGAAGTCTATGTCAATTTATCAATAGATAAATTTAGGCTATAAGCATGCACTGAACAAATAACTAACACATAACTTCTCAATTACATTCTGAGGGAGATCTCAAAAGGAAAAATATTTTCTAAAATAATTTCTCAAAACTGCTGGAGAGATCTCAAAATTTCTTCTCAAAACATCTCTGTAAAACTTTCTGAAAGAGATCTCAAAAACAACTTTCTGTAAACTTTCTGAAAGAGATCTCAAAAAAAAACTTTCTGTATAACTCTTTGTGGCTAATTTTACTCTGTGGGCCCGTGATATGTACTCAAAGGCGCCAATCCGACAGCTCAGGGGAGCGACCCACTAAACATATCGGACTCTCTGAAACTGATAACTCTGTAACTCTGTGGGAACTTGTTCCCGAGTACATATCACATAATCTTTCACTTTAAGTATTAGTTCTTTTTATAGTGTCGTTTGGATAAAAACATCATTTAATCAGAAAATAAAAATACTGACAAACTCTTGACTATGCCAGATAATAATCATAACTTAATACAGCAAATAAAATAACTCAGCAAATAACTCACCAAGTTCACATAATAGCAAATAGACTAAAATCATCTATTAAAAATCAACAAGACTTCTTTCTTTTATTTGGTTGAACAAACATGCACAGGTGGTAGTGAACTTACCTGTTAGCAGCTGAACTCAAAATACTCAGATAAGTGTGGCACTTGATAACGTCTCCCGGTAAGCTCTTCCCTTACATCTTTAGTTTAATAAAATGATATTATAAGAACTCATTTGTCATAAATCCAAAACTGTTAGAAAGATTTTATTTCAGCCGACCTGCTATACGGTTGAGTATAGATTTCTAAGCTACTGACAAGTTCAATCTAAATGACCCAGCTTTCTACTCAATTAAGGATTTTAAACGAAGCAACAAAATGCCCTGGTAAAATAATAATTGAACAATGATCCTAGACAGTGCCCTTTTAGCATAAAATATTCATATAACAATTTCCTGAAATCTGAAGAAAATAGCAGTGTGACTTGCCCGACCAGTCTCTGTTGAAGAGGATAATTTTAATATAGTTTAACTTATTACTCTAATCGAAATACCTAAATGCATAAAGAAGAATCAGGGAGGATTAAATTAGTTATTAGATTAAAATTCAGTTTGTTAACACAAAACTTGAAAATTTGATCAATAAAAGGCACACCCCCAAAAATCTAAATGACTCCGCTCTAATCAATAATAAAGTGATAGAACCTATTGAGGTCTAAGAAAATTGTTGATGTTCGTACTCTACTGGGGATACATAAAAGTAGCTAAACAAACCAAGGAAGGATTGTACAAGTGACATACCAGACTATAGGTTCCTTAAGGGAGATGGAAACTTTTCGTATATGAAGAAAGAATAAGGAGCTTCGGCTATCAGAAGAAGAATAGATACGGAAAGGCTTAAGGCTTGCTACTGAACAGAATTACTAAGCGGCATATGTATAATTCCTTCTAGGGTTTTAGTTAAACTATTGATTCGGGCCGAAATAATTGATCTGTACAGTTTCAGTCTTCAAAAGAGAAAAAAAAATGAATCAAACCCAACTAACTCATAATATTCTCCCTCGTAAAAGAGCTGATTAAACTTTTGGACGTTGTTTACTTCATCTAAATTTTATTAGAGCTCACCGGTCAACATTATCTGCCACAAACAAAACATGTTAAATAATATATCACATTATTCATAGAAGAAACTTATTTAACTTACTAAAATCGGTAATAAAAGATTAATGTAACTAGATCGCTAAAATCGGGGTGTTACAACCCCTCTCACCTTATAAAAGTTTCGTCCTCGAAACTAGAACAATTCGGAATGACATCTCACAATATTTCTTTTCGGACTTCTCACATGGTTTTAGAGCAACTATAATAGCTTTGTATCTCTTACAAAGTTACTTTACTTTCAGGAGCATGTGCTTTAAAGATTCAATTTCATACTGACATTACTTGTAATTACCAAGCTGATCAAGTTTCTCTTATCGGGAAAACATACTATTACTTAAGACTACACAAGTATCTCAACAAAACAACTTCTTAATAATTTATCTTAATAAGAAAACTTGCTAAAATACTTTCACGTTTTCTATTAACACTACAACACAAACTCACAAGCTCACAACTTAGAATATATATATGTTAATTACTTTGCCCTGATTGCTTATTAAAATGAAAAAGAAAGACAATAGTAAATTAGAAATATCTCAAACTAAAACATCCTAGGGGCTTAATATATAAACTCAAGTTTGAGGTTCTGCCCGCCCGAATTTCAGGCCTAAAATTTTGAGAAACCAACTATGTAGTTGTAAAAAAAAATGCTTTCGCACCCCAACAAAATAAGACCATGCCTCTAATGCAGTAGACAATTTATTATTAAAATTTACATTTTCTTTTGTAAGTGTCAAGCTTCTTCCAATTTGTTAAACAACCTAAAGCCCTTTAATTAAGGAAATTGATCTGGCTTCAAAGAAGATAACAAATGGTGTTGTTGCTTTATAAAAGACTTTTAAACATTAGAAGCGGTGAGATTTAATCCAATATAACAGAAAAAATTAAACCTTGTGGAGCATAGATTTCTTATACTTCTATTGGGTTTTCGAAACAGGTCTTACCTTTTCCTCATGCCAAAACATAATTAGGGGAAGAGGCAAAATAAAGAATAGTAATGACAACATAAGAAAATTAATGCCTGAAACCAGTTTATTATCAAGGAAAACAAACTTTCACTAGTTAGAGATGGTAATCCAAAACTCAATCAGTAGCTTGGTTCAGCCGATTGAAAGAGGAGAAAATTTTTGAGGAGGAGAACTGAGATTTCTTTGTAGAGAAAACAGAGAGGTGGCATGCCGCTAGTAGGAAAGGAAGTGTTGCTTCTCAAGGGACTTTAAACAGATGCTTTTCTTTTAAGAATTTTATTCAAAGTAAAATTAAACATCAAAGCTGGTCCAATATTACATTTTCGAGTCTACTAATATTTAATTTGACTTACCTTATGTAAAAAAAAAAATATCCCTTTTAAGGTTTAAAATAGTTTTAAACTACTAAACTCTATCTTTATCTTTTCATAAAACAAAAAGACTCTACTGTGGTCCTATACTTCTGGAACTCAAAATTTTAACTTACTTGATTAGTATGCTGAAGTAGTCATGAAAGCTGAATCTAGTTTGTAATTAGAATTTGAGCTTGAAAAGAACAACTATTCCTAATAAGATGAGCATCAGTCTCCCTCAATCCTTGCACACCATTTATCAATCGAAACTAAGAGTCTTAATATCTAGAGGAAAAATCTTCTTGGGCTCCCTCTAAAAATCACTATGCGGGTTAACATTAAACTGTCAACATTAAAAGAAACTGTTTGCTTAGTTTTAAATTTTTATGTTTCTTAAGCACAAGACATCATAAATGTTCTGTTTAACAAAAATTGACATTGTCAAGCACATAACTGTCAAACATTCTTTTGTTTTCAATAATTACTTTATAATTCTATCTCTTTGCTTCCTTAATTAGCTGTAGGATAATTAGGAAAATGCTATGGACTTTTTTTTTTAAACCCTTCATCCCTTCACTAATAAAATGTGTTATGTTCAAACATGTAGTCTATACGAGACAAAATAATAGTATTTTAATCGTAAACTTCCTTTGGGCCGTTCATTATCTAAAGTTACTTATTCGCTAATATTCCACAATATTGTTCCTTCTAACTTTAATCTTCTAACTATATAACTTAGGAAGTATCGATCGTTTGTTCATAGTGGTAAAGTTTATATAGCATTCAAAAATAAGGAAACCGAGTGGTAAGTAAGACATAATTCCATAGAAACTGAGAAGTGATTACCCGCTAAATGATCTGGTAGTAAAGTGTGCGGATGGTATCTAAGCTTAACTTAGACTAAACAAATAAATTTTCTGCGGTAAAATTCTTACACAGAATTCACTCTCTCTCTTTTTTTTTACACAGTCTCGTTATTATGCTCTTTAGATTTCAATTAGAAATAATAAACTGATCAAGGAATCTACACTGATATCTTTCAAAAGAAAAACTAACATCGTAGCTAGTTCCTTCTTACTAGTTTCATATACTCTTAATTTTGACTGAAACTAATTTAATTAAATAAAGAAATCACATAGTACAACTTACTCAACCGTTGATGTTTAAGCCCTTGAGTTACTGATGATTTATAATAAAAGAATAGTTTGTGGTTCCAAACTCTATACTCTTTATTCCCACCAATACCTCTATTACTCACAGAGTATACTAGTTCCCCACACAAACTAAGTGGGATATCCTCAACCAATACTCATACGTAATGGCTAATTGAGATGTTGATATTACCATATTCTTTATTCTACTGAAATATTCACTCTAGATCATAGTGTTATGAAGCACCCTTCACCAATCCCTATATTGTGTGTAGGAGATCATAATTAAGACTCATGATTTACCAAGGAGTGGTTTAATCTAATCCTTCCACTCATCTCTTGTAATCTAACTTCTAAGAACCGGATACTACTAAAAACTTTTGAATCACACATATAGACTTGAATGGCAGATCTTTCTAAAGGAATTTAAGTAGTGAGACTCAATATCTTTTTGGTAACCAAATGGAAAAATGAGGAAAACCTTTGGAAAAAAATGTACAACATTGTTTAAATCTCAGTGCCAAAAGCAAAGAATACTCTGAAGATTTCTTTGAGACATTTTAAAAATCTAAATTTCTTCTGAAACATACTTTTGAGGAAATAGCTAAATACTATACTAATATATCACTTAAAAATTTACTTATTTGAATTTTGGTAAAAATCACTGCCATGTGATTAATCATTAATCACTAAACGCATTAAATGATTAATCAACACACTTTAAAACTTATTTTGAAATAAACATTTACAACGTAAAGAAATGTATAATCTGACCATTGATCATTTTAAAGCAGTGTCCGATCACCGGTATCTCCTATTGGAATCATCAAATTGATGAGGGGCCCTCTCAGCAACTCAAGATTCCAAACTTGAGATACCAACGGTCAACACTCTAGAAAATCATGGAGCTTCTGAAACTGTTCATAAATAAAATTTAACTCCACTACTTAAGAACTTTCGAAATCCAAGGTGAAGCTTCTACACACACAAAAATACGCTATAACTTATAACTCTTTTAATTTTATTTTTCTTACAAAAATGTAATAATATAATGTAAATAGCATGGGCATTTTTAAAATAATGATCAATTAATAAATAGATAAAAATACATAACAAACTGATTTGTATGTTTGTGAAAATTCTTCATCACACGTAAACTCACTTTCATCTGATGCTTTTAAAAATATCAGACGAACTCAATATTATCTTTCTTAAAAAAATATAACTAACAACACTTAGGCCATGAATAAACTACAAGCTATATAAAAAGATCAGCTGGAATAGCACTGATTGTGACATAATTCATGTACTCAATCATGAGAAAATAAAGATTATGTGACATTTTTTTTTTAATTCGGATTTTAATCATGGGTCACCTCTATGTAGGAGACATACTTGTTACGAAAGATCAACTGAGACCAAAATGGAAGGCCGAGAATACGTAATTATGAGAGGTGTATGACTAGAACGATGGTGTCTTTAGATAACAACCCCAAGTACTTCCTAAATGAAGTAGAAGACTTAACTCAAGAATTTAGATACTCGGATAAATTTAATCTGAATAACTCGTAATGGCACATAAGTTGTACGAGTTGAGTGCGTACTACATTTACTTGACTTTTCTATCTAACTAATGCAAACAACACTGAAACATATTTTCACATAGATAACTTTTAACATAAATAAATACTTACTTGGAAGATGATGAGCACGTGTACGGTGACAAATGAAGTTGCGGGACAACCTGGGCTCTGATACCAAATTTGTAACGCCCCTCTCAGGGTTAAAGGAAACGTTACACAACTTACTACTTTTAAAAAAATAACTGTAATATAATGGCCATCTATTTAAGAAAATAACCCTGATACATTCTCAAAAGTAACTAAAACAACTCGAAATAAAACTAAATAAATATAGTTATCACCAGCAAATGTGATAACCACCTGGATCCAGGAATTTATTCAAACTTCAAATCCACAAAATAAAATAAAGTAATAATAATCACTTTATTATAACAACTATACTTAAATACAATAATAACTAGCTAGAAGCTGCCAAGGCCGTTCCCGTTAACTCATTTCGGCACGCGTTCCACTCCCTCATCATCTTCCTAGACCTTGGTCTTACCTTTAGTATCTGTACATGCGAAGAAAGAAAACTGATAAGCTTTACGCTTAGTAAGTCACTATGGATCCACAAAAATATCTAGAAGTCTATGTCAATTTATCAATAGATAAATTTAGGCTATAAGCATGCACTGAACAAATAACTAACACATAACTTCTCAATTACATTCTGAGGGAGATCTCAAAAGGAAAAATATTTTCTAAAATAATTTCTCAAAACTGCTGGAGAGATCTCAAAATTTCTTCTCAAAACATCTCTGTAAAACTTTCTGAAAGAGATCTCAAAAACAACTTTCTGTAAACTTTCTGAAAGAGATCTCAAAAAAAAACTTTCTGTATAACTCTTTGTGGCTAATTTTACTCTGTGGGCCCGTGATATGTACTCAAAGGCGCCAATCCGACAGCTCAGGGGAGCGACCCACTAAACATATCGGACTCTCTGAAACTGATAACTCTGTAACTCTGTGGGAACTTGTTCCCGAGTACATATCACATAATCTTTCACTTTAAGTATTAGTTCTTTTTATAGTGTCGTTTGGATAAAAACATCATTTAATCAGAAAATAAAAATACTGACAAACTCTTGACTATGCCAGATAATAATCATAACTTAATACAGCAAATAAAATAACTCAGCAAATAACTCACCAAGTTCACATAATAGCAAATAGACTAAAATCATCTATTAAAAATCAACAAGACTTCTTTCTTTTATTTGGTTGAACAAACATGCACAGGTGGTAGTGAACTTACCTGTTAGCAGCTGAACTCAAAATACTCAGATAAGTGTGGCACTTGATAACGTCTCCCGGTAAGCTCTTCCCTTACATCTTTAGTTTAATAAAATGATATTATAAGAACTCATTTGTCATAAATCCAAAACTGTTAGAAAGATTTTATTTCAGCCGACCTGCTATACGGTTGAGTATAGATTTCTAAGCTACTGACAAGTTCAATCTAAATGACCCAGCTTTCTACTCAATTAAGGATTTTAAACGAAGCAACAAAATGCCCTGGTAAAATAATAATTGAACAATGATCCTAGACAGTGCCCTTTTAGCATAAAATATTCATATAACAATTTCCTGAAATCTGAAGAAAATAGCAGTGTGACTTGCCCGACCAGTCTCTGTTGAAGAGGATAATTTTAATATAGTTTAACTTATTACTCTAATCGAAATACCTAAATGCATAAAGAAGAATCAGGGAGGATTAAATTAGTTATTAGATTAAAATTCAGTTTGTTAACACAAAACTTGAAAATTTGATCAATAAAAGGCACACCCCCAAAAATCTAAATGACTCCGCTCTAATCAATAATAAAGTGATAGAACCTATTGAGGTCTAAGAAAATTGTTGATGTTCGTACTCTACTGGGGATACATAAAAGTAGCTAAACAAACCAAGGAAGGATTGTACAAGTGACATACCAGACTATAGGTTCCTTAAGGGAGATGGAAACTTTTCGTATATGAAGAAAGAATAAGGAGCTTCGGCTATCAGAAGAAGAATAGATACGGAAAGGCTTAAGGCTTGCTACTGAACAGAATTACTAAGCGGCATATGTATAATTCCTTCTAGGGTTTTAGTTAAACTATTGATTCGGGCCGAAATAATTGATCTGTACAGTTTCAGTCTTCAAAAGAGAAAAAAAAATGAATCAAACCCAACTAACTCATAATATTCTCCCTCGTAAAAGAGCTGATTAAACTTTTGGACGTTGTTTACTTCATCTAAATTTTATTAGAGCTCACCGGTCAACATTATCTGCCACAAACAAAACATGTTAAATAATATATCACATTATTCATAGAAGAAACTTATTTAACTTACTAAAATCGGTAATAAAAGATTAATGTAACTAGATCGCTAAAATCGGGGTGTTACAAAACCCTTGAGAAACCCGATGTGTTGGAGTTTTCCGTCAGAAGCATGCCCCAACCGTAGGTGCCATAAATCAGGACCAAAAATAGCTGACGCTGTTACCTCCTCACCTTTTGACGGTTCCAGGTAATATAGACCATTATGGAGTCGGCCTCTCCCAATTATCCTTTTTGAGTATAATTCCTCTAAAATACAACCACTTGAGGAAAAAATAAGTGTGCAATTGAGATCGCTAGTAAGACGGCTGGCAGAGAGCAAGTTGCACTGAAACTGTGGGATATAAAGAATGCGCCGAAGACATAACCCATTTGATAGGTATAGACTTCCAACAGCAGAAACTGGAACTAATTCACCATTGGGGATTCTGACGGACGGCTCGAAGGGGTGAGTTTGGATGTTGAAGAGATTATCTTCTTTACAAGTGATATGTTCACTTGCACCAGAATCAATTATCCAAGTGAGAGTGTTAAATGATACTTCTGCCATGTCGATGTGATCATGGGAGAAAGGCAAAGAAAGTATTATTTTGAATCTCTAACGAGGACATTGATTTCCAGGTTTCGGCTCTGATACCATGTTAAAACTGAAATTTATGAATATATATAAATGGAACTAAGGAACAATTTTACAATAGAGAAGAAATATTATTACATAGAGAGGCACAAGTGTGAGTCCTCTTAGTATTTCTTCATACGTAAAATGCAATACATGCACACATATACATAGCTATAATATATAGAAACTAGGAACCCTACATATACAAGTGGGCCCTGAATAATAAATGGTGCAAATAAAAAAAAACAACTCTCAATAACAGGAGCTGGAGAAAGAAGAGATTATATAGCCTGGAAGCCCAGAAAGAAGTCTCTATTGTTAAGTTACGGCAGCGTTATGCCCAGCGGTGTTGCGGTTCTTGCTATGGCTGGTTAGCCACGGTGAACCGCAACGCTGTCATAACGCTATCAAACCCTTTTAAGGATGATGTCCCAAACATACTCCTGCCCGAGCTTAAGTTGCCGGAGAGGAAGCCAAGAGGGCACCAGTATGACATTCAAAAGGTCGTGTTATCGGCAGACCCTTGTTCGGGTGGCGGTTTTGTTGTAGGGGTAATCTATACCGTTTATAAACGAGTAGCCTTTCACAAATCAGGGGAGAAAGAATGGGTATATGTAGACATGGATCTATGGCTCATCTCAGATATTACTTTTCATAGGAATTTGGTCTATATCATAGGACATCGTAACAATGTCATCTCCATCGACCTTTATAACGGTTCAGGATCGCCCCAGCCGAAACTGAAGACGGTCGTGCGAGAACCTCCGTTGCACGACCTTGAGGCGTTCTCGGATAGAGCATATCTTGTCGAATCATCAAAGGGGAACCTGTACTCTATTCACAGAAAACGGAATAGAGCTGCACATTTAACCAAAACATTCGAGGTAATGAGGCTGGTTTTGGACGAGAATGGGGAATTGTTGGAGAAGAAAGAAGTGAAGAGTATCGATGGGGATGTGGTTTTTGTAGGAGATAGTGCAACCATGGCTGTTTCGGCTGCCAAGTATTTTCCTCAAGGGAAGCCCAACTCAATATATTACACGGATGATTACATTGATTTAGTTAGTCCCTTTGGTCCTCAAGACAATGGCATTTTCCATTTGGATGATGATACAGGGGCCTCTGCCTTTGGACAACATTACCCATTCCATTCTTCCCACAGCCGCTTGCCTCCCTATATCTGGATTCTCCCACCAATTGGTTACCTCTTGCAGCTTGATATACATACTTTATAAAGATCAATTTCCATCCTATCCTATTATGTTAGTGTGTGTATTTCACCTTAATGGAAAGGGTCATGTTAGGACCTGGCCACCTGGCCCCCGTCACAAATTTAGTGAAAATATTGATTTTTTATGTGTAAAAATATTAGTGTAAAAAAATATCTGAAAAAAGTCTTTATACTAGCTCGGTGAAAATAACTTTCCAACTATGTCACTTCTTCACGACAAGTAGGCACGCTTCGATCCGGTTGGTTGGCTTATAAACTCGAGAAACTCTTAAAGTATGGTCAATGCTTCTAATTTGTTAGTAGTAAATTTCATGCATTTCAATAATATAATAAAAGAGAATTGCTCTATATAAGAATCAAAGGTGGACATTTTCCTAACTAGGAGTATCATTATGTTTCTATCTCCTAAATTGCTAAAAGTATTTGTTTTCCTTTTCTAATTTTCTTATGTTTTGATCAGGGGCGGACCCAGGAAATTGATATTGGGGGGGCGATAATTTAAACAAAAAAATATAGGCGATTATTATTATAAGTTATAACCTTAATATAATACGGAATAGTAATTAAATGAAGCATTATAATAGAAGAAGAGACAAATATATTATTACAAAATAGTTAAAGTTAGTACCTTAGAATTGTACCCAACGCTTCTTCAACTAGATAAATTCCTCAATCATGGCTTTTTAGTCAAAAGTTTTAGTAATTTCTCTTTCAATATAAACAATAAGGTTGTCTGCAACATACTCATCCTCCATGTTATTGCGAAGCCTTGTTTTTATAATTTTCATTGCAGAAAAAGTCCTTTCGGTTGTTGCTGTCGAAACCGGTAGAGTCAACAAAATTCAGATCAATTTATCAACAAGCTAAGAAAGTACACTTTTGACATCTCCGTCTCCGCTAATATTTGACAAAGTTCACCCATTATAGAAAAATTCGCCAACTTTGGATGATTTAGAACATTGAGCTTATAATGTTGCAATAGAAACCTCAAACTCACCTTCTCCTGCTCAATAAAATCAAAGGGGTAATATTTATCCACTAAAGAACAGATATCATCGATGTTAAAAGACTTATATGAGTTCTTAGGATCCAAAGCACCACTAAGAGTAAGAAGATCCATTATCTGTTCACCGAATCTGCTATTCAGCTCCAACAATTGTGAATCTATGGCTGCGTAAAACATATCAACCCGATAGTGACGTTCAATATCAAACCCTTCTTGATCATGGCGTTTGCGTTTTACCGCATAAGGAGACTTCATATTAGGAACTTCAATTTCATGCTTTGTGCAAAACTCTTTAACAATTTCTAAGAAGTTATCCCATCCACCCTCCCTTAACTTTTGGATCAACATTTTGGTGCTTGCCAAATGCATAGCATTTACTATGTCTTGGCACTTCTTCTGTATATGCTGACATAGAAGATCTGTAATGCCCATAATTTCTTTAATAAGATACAACAAGAAAACAAAATCAAAACATTTAATCTTCTTAAGTTCTCTATCTGCATTTCCACGAGTAGAATAGTTATTGCCATTCTCTTCAACATCTTCTAAAACAGAACAAGTTGCAGCAAACATCCTAATCAAGCTGCAAACAGAACTGAAATGTGAGCTCCAACGAGTTTCCCCAGCTTGTTGTAATGTACCAACCTAATTAAGTCCTCTCTTTGTTTCAAGCTCACCAATTTTCAACATTCTTGCAATTTCAAGTGCTTGAGCTTCCTTTAATTCATCACTTCGTTTGCAAGAAGAATTAGTCACACTAATAATAAAGACTGAATCGATGAAAAAATTGTGCACATATTTCACCTCTCTAGAAGCAGCAACCAATGCTAATTGCAACTGATGTGCTAAGCAATGAACATAGTAGGCATAAGGACAATCATTTAAAAATAATCGATCTTTCTGTTTCTTTCTTCTAGGTGCGCATGTTTTTCATTAGTTTGGTCTGGGCTGTGGGCTGGGATTAGATTTTGGGGTGGGTTAATGGGGAATAAATTTTGGAGTGAGTTGATATAATATTACTTGTAAAATTTCTATTTTTTTAGGCTCTTAAACAATTGGGTTTCTGCGAGTGGGTTATGCTTTGGGGGAGAAAATATTTTTGGGGGGGTTCAAAATTTTTCTTGGAGGGGTGAGAATTAAATGTTGGGGGGGTAAAAATAAAAATTTTGTATATATATACACTAAAAAAAGATTGTTGGGGGGGCGGCAGCCCCCCTGGGTCTGTACTACGGTCCGCCCCTGGTTTTGATTGCCTTTTCTTTGTAGACGTTTAATTTTAGACAAGTTTCTATCTTTTCAACTATTTCAAACTAAAAATGTTACTCCGTATGATTTTCTATAAAAATGTGATAATTTCACCATTGCAATCTTTGAAGGGTGATGTCTAAAAATACGAGAAAAGGCAAGGAGTCATGCAAAAGAACGGAAATTATATTCATATTAATGGTATTCGGATAGAAGGATTCTGAATGAATTCTCAACGTAAGCATTTGCTCACACGTGATTTTAACTACCGCTACCTGCCTACCTCCGTCGTTTGGGACAAAAGGGTGTGGTGTGGTTTTTAAGAAAAAGTAGAATTGTGTGGTTGATATTGAATTGATAAAGTATGAATAAAGTAAGAATGAATAAAACCGCATCTTTTGTAAGACTTAGAAACTCATCACCCAGTGCTCATTCTTCTTCTTCTTCTTTTACCCCAGGGGGCGTCGGGGGAGGATTTGGGGGTCTGGAGTAAACTGAGATTAATCTCACTCCATTGAGAATTGAACCTGGAACCCCCCGTAAAGGAGAGTGAATCGGCGACCAGCTGGGCTGGATCGCTTCCTCGTGCCCATTTATTTTTTATATTTATTTTTTTCGCAACTTGTATCCACGCTTATAGAACTGTGATGTGATGATGTTTTACTAGAGATGCTAAATCTACAAATTAACTTCGTTTTCCTATGATTGAAAATAAAAGTAAGAAGTGTGGTTGAAAATAAAATGTCTTGGAGGATGATCTGAATTCTGAAATCATCAAAATAGTGAAACAAAAAGTGTTATTTTCACTTAAGATACTCTTGTACTCCAAGTAAGTTGGAGTATTTATTTAATATTAAAAATACTCCAATTTGATTGGATTTTCACACAATATTTTCCAATTCTTCAAATTATTAACTCTTTCCTTTTTACTGTTTATTCAAAATTATCTCCTGTTTTCACTTAAGGAAATTGTTCTGGGATAAATGAGTGTTACGTATTAGGAAAAATTGATTTAAAGGGAAATAGGTGCAAATTATGTGAATATATGTTATTGAACAAAAAGGTAGATAATTGATCAATGTAGCGTTATCTATTCTATTTATATATAAGAAAAGAATAGG